TGGACTCCAGCCCGGAAGACGAGACGGACCAACGGTACCCAGTTTGGTCGTCAGTACCTTCATTTACCGCTGCCAAGTTAACTTCTGTCCAACTCGAACTTTGCGCCACACTACACCTGACAGACTAAACAATTGCGAATGAGTAGACGGAATTCGGTATGATTCAATTTGGTTCATCGCAATTAGATTCCAAGCCGCATAGGTAAGCTACCAATCCGGAAGCGCACCAGACGCGCGTTTCGCCCTATTGGGGCTCGTCACTGGTGTGCATCCATCGGTCCTCTACTGGGGGTCGAACCCATGACCGCTAGAGGTTAACGCCAACTAGCCAGCAGCTTATGCCACTGCCATAGGGGACGACAGCCGACCATTACGAATTGAAACCTAATTGCGATATAGCCCTACTAAACAATTCCCTCCTAGGTAAACAGTGACCAGGCATACGTAGCACGTGCCCTAGCCAACGCAACTTATTCAGTGCTGTCTGTTATTCTAGGGAGCTAGCGTAATGATCACTACCTAGTACGCGCGTACGCACACCATCGTTGCGGACACACTGGTGCCATCCGACACCAGCATTGCCTCACGGACAACGATGATTAAAGACTTGATAGCGCCTCACCTCTTCAGACTGAAGGTGCCAAGTCTCACTCCCAAAGAGCACAACGGCCCTCACTGTGGGCTTGTATATACGGTCTTTCAGACGGAGGGGTACTCCCTTCTGTCGGCAAAGATGCCGCAGGTTCAAGTAGGCAGTTGTGCCCTTTGCAATGCGTGAGCTGACGTCTGTATCTATGCGTCCATCATTGCTGATGCAGGTGCCAAATAAGTGAATTGATCAACCACCTCGAGTTCCTCGTCAGCACGCGTCAAGGGTTATCCAGTATCTGGTGGTCCTGCAGCAACACTTTGCACGTTGAGAGTGCGAAGCGCATACCAAATAATGGGACCACTCTAGACAGGCTACCCAGGGTTGATTGTGCCGCCGCAACATCGTCGAAAAGCAAGAGGATATCGTCCGCATCATCTAGATCAACTAATCTTTCACTAGGCAGCACTTCAAATCTTACATCGTGAGATTCCTTAAGGGAACACTCCATGCTAGAGTCCACGACGAAATAGAACAGAAATAAGGAAATCGCACAACCCTGACGAACGCCACTTGTGGTCGGAAAGCTATCGGATAGGCCACCGTAGACCCTGACGCCGTCTGTAGTGTTCGAGTATAGAGCACGAAGGATGTCCACATATTTCGTGGGAACACCTTTCCGCGCAAGTATTTCGAACAGAATCGATCGACGGAATCTGACGCACTCTTGAAATCGAAGTACATAGCTATTGCCGGTCTGTGGTATGCGTGGCGCTGCTCTAGCACCTACCGCACAGTGAATATATGGTCTATACAGCCGCGCCCTGGGCGGAAACCGACCTTCTCTTTCCTACTCCGAGATTCTCGTTCCACAGTAATGCGACGAACGAGAATCGAGGTCATTAATTATGTCACAACTGGCATTAGGCTGATACCCCTGTGGTTAGAACAGTCTGTGCGACTGCTCTTCTTGTATATTGCCACTGTAATCGATTCGCTCCAATTAACCAGGGCACTTTCTTCCTTCCAGATACTTTCGAATAGGGAGGTCATTACTTTGAGGAGAATCTCACCTCCATCCTTAAATAGTGCAAGTGGGATGGAATCCGGGCCAGCGGCACGAAAATAATTGAGGGCTGTGATCGCTTTTCGGATCTCGGCCTCCGAGGGAGGCACTAAACTAACCGTCCATGGCTCGTCTTGAATCACCTGAGTAGGAAGAGGTTCGGAAGCAGGGGGACAGCTGAACTGATTTTGTAAATGTTCCGCCCAACGAGCCATACAGCGCTCCTTATTGTGTATCAGTGCACCCGCGCGGTCTCTGATTGTCTCACTGACGCTTGGTTTCCTGGGACCAGTTGTGTGGATCAGCTGGAAGAGCTTGCGGTAATTGCCCACTGCTCCTGCCTCCTCCATTTCTTTAGCCCTACCGGTCCACCAGGCTTCCTTGTCAGCACATAAACTCCGCTTTAGTTTGCGCCTAATAGCCCGTCTGATCACATTGTGCGCAGAGCCGGCCGGGCGGTTTTTTCTAGATTCAAGCAGGTTCACCGACCTCTCGGATATCCAGTGATTGGTTCGGTGACCACTGGTAGCACCACAAGCAGATGCTCCTGCGTCGTGCATGGCGGCCGAGACCCTATTCCACTGAAGCTCAGTGTCATTAGAACAAGACAGTTCGGTATGTAGTGCGTCTCGATAGGCTTGCCTGACCGAGGGCTGAAACAATTTCTCAGCTGCTAATCGGAGAGGACGCTTGGTGCGCCTCCCGGTAATGTTCATGGAGAAACGACAGCTTACCAATGCATGATCAGAGTCGACGCAGGTATTACAGTACGAGCGGCAATCCAGGATGGAACCACGCGATCTGTAACTTAGGGCTATGTGGTCAATTTGGGCCCATCATTGACCAGCTACAGGAGGACGTCAAGTGGCATTTCGGCTCGCACTGTGTCTAAAAGCAGTACGAGTAAGAACCAACTAGTGATCCGCACACAGTTGCAGCAGACGCTCGCCGTTGTCAGTCCCTTTGGAGCTATGCCCATAATTCCCAAGTAGCTGAGCTTCTGTAATGCTCAGACGTCCTACTTGTGCGTTCATATCTCCTGCAAGTACTATAATATCTGAACTAGTAGCACTGCGTAGTAGCGCATTCAGTTCGTGATAGAATGTCCTTGACAGCATTTAAACTGTAGTCGGTGGGAGCATAAACGTAAAACACAAACAAACAGCGTCTGGTACTACTTCGTGAATCAACGTTAGGTGATGTCATCAAACGTACTGCACACAAACGGTTGTTCACCGGAATCCAATCAACCAACGATGGCTCAGCCTTGGAGCTTAGAATAATACCTACACCAGCTTGACCCGTGAGTGCTGCATCAGCGTCTCCGGATGCTTACAACCACTAACGAGAGGATAAGCCGCGTACAGTTAATTCAACAGCCCCATTAGGGTCATTGGCCCTGGTTTCGGACACACAACACACATCAATACACAGTGAGTGCAGCCTGTTGACCAACTTGTCTTAAAGTGCCTTAGAGTGTCTTAAAGGCTCCGAAATCTCCGGCGCTTTAAGATTGCTCATTTTCCCGTTACTAGGCACCCTAGCCCCCCACGACCAATTTGGCACCGTGGATGTGAATGTACTCTGCTGAAATCAGCTACCCATCACGGTGCATGCTTACATTGTTTGATCTGCCTACCTCCTGTCCTCCGGTTTAGTTCCAGGTCTCCAACGGATGCACGCAGCACGCGCAGCTGGTGCTTTTGAGGACTTCCTTCCATACGGCGGATGTCTACCCCGTGGATTGTTCTCGTTTCGCTGCTGTAGAGTAGGACGGGCGTTGCCATTAATTCGCGCACTCCTAACCGGGGTTTTACTGGGCCACCGTTACTTGCCATTTTTCTGGTGGCCTGGTTGTCTCAATCGTCACTACTTTGTGTGCCTGTTTAAGCATCCCTGGGGTCGTTGATCCTCTATCCCTTCGTTTAAGGATGCTTAGATTCAGAGGCCCGTATCTTTCCACTTTTTATACCGACCCATCGCAGAACTCGATCTTTCAGGGACAAAAAGTCTATTCAACAAAGCAATCTTAGCGAAAATTACAACATATGGTTGGCGGCATCCGGTTTCGGATTTGCCTGTCACTGTGGCAAGCCACAGGACGCCTGCGCCTACAGAGGGACCATGGGTGGCTTGCGCTGCACCACCCACAGCTCCAACCACATACCCCATATCCAGTGTAAACCCGAAGGAATAAGACCGGGAGGCATGCGGATGGGAGCCACGTTTCATCAACGGAGTCGGCCCACACTCCTTCACAGGCAAACACAAGCACACTGTATTTGGGGAATCAAGCGCACACAAGGCGGTGGTTGGACCGTAGTCCGCTCCACACTGAGTGCATGGAACCACTCTTCGAGCCTAACACGACCACAAGGACCGTGCACCCCGTCCCCTCCAGCAACGACCAACTGTCTCCTGGAGCCAGTATGAACGAGTTAGTGGGTAATAGACAGGTAGGCACCTTGTCAACATGCACATCAAGCGCAGCCACAACTGGGATATCAAACAACAGCCAATCACTTGAGAGAGAGAGAGAGAGATACAAAGAAAATAACTCGATTAATGCATAAGGTAACGGTGACATAAACCTTAAGTTAATGAGCATATGAAATAAGTTGTTTAGAAACGAATCCTAGATAAGTTCACGAAGTGCCACGAACACGAAAATGTTATGGAAATGGAATACAATTGGCTTAAGTGAAGTGTGCAAGTTAATGGAATAGAGTACAGGTAGACATTTATATGAGAAAGAAAAGCATTAAGGCAAAATTGAAAACCCACCACCTGAAATAAAGTGACTTAGCATGCAAGCACGCGGTTAGTAAATTAAATGCAGCGCACGTACAAACGCTGCGCCGGTTCTGAATACTTCTCTGCAGGACCCGTCGTCGCTTCTGTAATGGTCCCGAGTGGCCTCGCTCATGGCTCACATAACTGACCTTCATATAACTAGGTTGTTTCCATGACTAACGACACTTCTGCACTCATGCGATTTTACCTTTACTTCGGTCTACCACATTCACTCCAGTGCAGTCAAACAGTAACCAATCGGCGTAGTTGCAGCGACATGTGTTCATGTTCAATCCTCTGTTCCGTCCGTTTGCAGTAATCTGGCTGCTTGCTTCGTCGCGTAACTCCGTCTCGTCCCTCCGATTGCTTACTGCCACCACACGGCCTACCTTCAGGCACGTTTAGACACGTACTCGATAGTCTTTCAGGACGATATCTTTCACAGGTTCTCTCATGTCTTATTTCAAATGATAACTTACTAATCCCCGTTTCTCATTGCACTCCGTTTGTCTCTTGTATGCGCTGAACCTTCTCCGCTTCATTCCTCTCCAGGATTCTAACATTTACCCCCACTGTATGGGCACATGTGGTACCCCTAGTAAGTCTTCTGTTGCTTCTTCACCCTTTCCATCGACCGATTTGACTTGGAATTTCTCGTTGATTACTTGCTACAAGACCGGGCTTTCTCCCACTTCACAAAGTCATTCCTTTGTCTTATTGCAGTCCCTTTTATGTAAAAGCGCATTCTTCAAGCACATATTTTACCTAGATGTACTTCCCATATAAAAGCTGTTATCTCAGAACTCAGCACGGCCTTTGAATCAGATCACTTGCTTCATATCCCATCGTGTCTGTGCGGTACTCTACATCAAACTTCCTTGAGTCTATGATGGTAGGTGGGAATGCCGCATCAATGATAGGAAACGCACTCGGGCGTGTCGCACTTTTGCCTTCAGTGTGGCGCTCCTACATTCGGCGTTTTCTTGCGTGTACTTGTTATATATATATATATATATATATATATATATATATATATATATATATATTCCGTCAGTCTATAACTAGCCATTGAGCCATCGAAAACAACATGAGGTAGAAAATAAACATGTAAAAATATCAGAAACAGGGAACAAATATTTTGAGCTTTTTGTTTTTGCCTCTTTTTGCACGCCATTTTGTTCTTTTTTGTCATTTTGAATCACCTTAGAAACATTTTATTATGCACTCCTCCCGTTAAGTGCGGTTTCGCACCAACTGTGTCTAGCCGTTGGCAGTCCTCATCCTTGGGGCCCCAACTAGGAAGACGTGCAGGGCCGACGATTACGAAACAGGTGGTCATTGATTTCATGGTTTGCAGCCAAATGGCTGACTGACCTCCACGCGCTTTTCCAGTTCAGTCCCGTGTGAGCAAATAAGGCGCTGCGTGTTAAGCGCTCGCATGGCTTATGTAGAATGTGGCTTTCACCTCAATTGACGCATTGCGATAAGGCGATCATGCGGAGTGCACATGTTTCCAAAGACGGGAGCCCGGTGCTGCCACCATACACTGGCTATTCGCTGTAAACATGTGTTGTCGAAGACCGAAAGCCGACGCACGTCATCAACACAAACTGGCCAGGACTCACTTCCGTACAACTGGACCGCACGGATACAAGCGTTGTAAACCCTCCCCTTTAAGGAGAGGGATATGTCCCGACGATGCCACAAATGACTCAGGTTGGAAATGCCGACCGGGCTTTGGTTATGGGAAGAGATACCTCTTTCCCAATGGTGCCATCAGCAGAAACACAGATTCCGAGGTAGACATAGTTCTCCATCAGCTCTAGCTGTGTTCCCTCAATAGTAATTCTGGTGACAGACGACGTCCAATCCTAGAGTAGCATTTTTCACTTCAAGGGGAAAAGCGCATACCATACTTAGAAGCTTTAATCGCCGGACTGTTCAAAAAGAGCTGTACACTCTGTGAATCGTTACCAACTCTACAGCGATATCATCATCATACTCTAAGTTGGTCACGTGATTCCCTGAAAGAAGCTCAATACCCAGATTTTGGGAGCCTTCCAGAAATCTCAGCAGAACGTCTTCCGTTGCAGGATTGAAGAAAATGGAGACAGAGAACCCTTATCGCACTTCACTTAAGATAGCGAAGGGTGAAGAAAACTTGCCATAGACCCTCCACTCTGCCTGACACTTGGAGTAAAGCGCTCGAATGCTGGAAGTGTACTTTTCGGGGACTCCATTTCTTAGCAGACAGTACCATATAGCAGGCCGATCGATCGAGTCAACTGCAGTTCGAATGTCCAGGAAAACGACAATGGTTGGCTTGTGATAGAGGTGGTGGTGTTCAAGGCTTAATGTGAAGATCTGGTCCGCGCATTTTCGACCGGGACGGAAGCCAGTTTGTTCTTCTCGGCAAAAACAACTATTCTCGGATCGGGGTTAGTCTGAGGAGCAGAATGGATGCTTACAGTTTGTAAGCAAGCGGTCTGAGATTGATTCCCCTGTGATAAGCGCAGAATGTGCGTGCACCTTTCTTGAAAATTGTGATAATTCCTGACTCATCCCAGGAGGATGGAATCTTCTCTTTGTTCCATATCCTGGAAAACAGCGATTTCTACTGCTTGACAATTTCTGGGCCGCCAAACTTGGACATCTCCGAAGGACGTTTATCCGAGTAGGTAGACTTGAATCCCTACAGGTGTCGAATCTCGACGAAAACCTCCGCTTCCTTAGCTGGCTCCAATGAAATGACGCCAGACATGCATCGGGCGTATTTGACATACAAGCGGACAATGGATGAGGATTGGATTTTAACTGAGAATGTTCAGTCCAACGCTCTACGCGTCTTCGCAGGTTAGTGATTCATGACCCATCCGCTTCACAGATAGTCTCGCTGACACCAGACGTTCTAGGGTGAACCGAATGAGCTGAAAGCGTTTGCGGAAATTGCCAGAGAGAGCAGCGGTCTCCATCTCCGAGGTGCGCTGAGACCACCAAGTCTCGCGGTCATTACGCAAGCTTTGTTTGAGTTGCCGATTGAGAGTCTGGCGCATAGAATTATGAACCGACTTCGGTGGCACATTTCAACGGCGGTCAAACAGTCCTAGCGAGCGAACTGAGATGCAACTTTTCCAAGGGTGTTGGGTTAGACCATAAAGTGATTGACCAGAGAAGAGCATCACTTCGTGCAAACAAGCCAATGTTGCTCAACATTCTGGGATGGACTACACGTGAGAGCATTCGATAATGCAACCTGATAGCTCAGTTAGACAGAGGGGGTCAACTAACTTGTTTGTGTCAGTCATACAGTGCAGTTGTTTCCGGATCCCATCGAAGCGCATGCCGATGTTTGCACAAACCAGCGCGTGATCTGTGTCAAGGTAGATTGACCAGAATGACATGCAGTCTCGTATACTACCTCGCCAATGGGAATCGATTGCGATGTGGCCGATTTGAGACCAGAACTATGTTGACGACGGAGAACACCAAGTTGCGGAACGTCTCTTGTTATGCCTGAAGTTGGTGCTGGTTGTCCTCGCACAATGTGAGAAGCCGCTACTCATTATCTGTGCGTCTTGTTAACCGTGTGCTGATCTCCAAGGTGGCGTTCAAACGGAAGCAGGCGACCGAGCCGTGCATTAAAATCACCAGCAAGTAGAATATCTGACTTGACTACTTTACTCAGAAGAACTTGAAGTTCGCGGTAAGAAAAATACTTGACATACTCGCTGATGCAGTCAGTTGGGGCATAGGCAGAAACGACAAACAACTTCCGTGTTTATTTGCGTTGTCTGTTGATACGATATGATCCCTGAAGCCAAACTGTGCAAAGTCGACTGTTAACTGGTAATCAGTCTAGCAAGGCAGCTTCGGGTGCTATCCCAACGTCAGCCAAACTTGCTGCAGCTGCTTTTGCGTCAGTGTTTGGTGACAAACCCTACATTTACGTCCAGTTCTGTAGTTGCCCGTCGACTCTTTCGTCTTTCGAGGCGCTTGTCGTCGGTACTCCTACGATGCCATGGTGAAATGACATGATACAGTTGGTCGGATGACTTAGCTGGATCTATCGCTTGTTTTACTTCCTGATGGCACTCCGCAAATTGCCCACACCGACGATTTCTTCTTCGAAATGGTTTGTAGGCTTAATTCTCTGGCTAACTGAGTCACTTCCACTGGTTACATCGCCAAAGCTGGTATAGCCTTCATGTCATCAGTTACTTCTGGAGATGGATTAATGGGTTAGCGTATTGAGAACCAAATGGTTTCAAATGCTGCGGTGCAACCAGCGTCACTCTGTGTGTGTATCAGAGACCCGGTTGCTGCTACACAAGGTCACCATCACTCCTCAGTACACATCAGCTAAATGTGAGAAGCATCTCAGCTACTATTGCGCCGCAATACAAAAGATGAAGTGTATGAAAAGATGAGATAATAATAACTGCAGAATACAAAATAAAAACCGAAAGCAAGTAGAATAGTGCTCGGTATTCGATTATGAACCGAGTACGACATCAAGTTTAGTGGGGAGAGCAAAAGAAACTCACGACACAAGCACCATTGTGAGCGGCTCTTTGCCATGTCAACTAGTGTGCATTCAGCCAAACGTGTTCAGCGTCCTTGGGTCTCCGAACCTGCAGTCGGAAAGCACCAACCGACGCCATGTTCGAAGTGAAAGTTTCAATTCCTCTTGGCCACATCATCGGTTGGCCTTTCATCTTTTCTTCCATCCATTGCAAAGCGGCGACAATTTGCCATAAAGCGTTACTCTACCCAAACTACATGCGTACTGCGCTTTTACGATATCCACATATTGGACACATCTTTCCTGAGTAAACAGTCTCAAAAGCACAATCAGTCTACCGAATCGTAGGCACCTTTTGCTACCACTGCCGTCAAGCACTCGTATGTACACATCATCGCGGCGACCGCGACCCGCTTCCGTGGCTAGACACCTGATAGGGTTTGGCGCAGTCACTTAGTCACTTGGTGTTTTGATTACTGCATCTGAGGATTTAGAGTACTTCCTATTCGCCCTGAAATAGCATAGTTATGTTTATTATTATCTCTAGTGTTTCCTTTAGTTTTGTGATATTTTTTATCACAGTTGGATCCACCGTGCGTCGATGCACGAATCTAAATTGTTCGATCATCATAAACATTATGACATTACTCCTGTATCCAATCGGTTTGTTAAGGCATCCAACACTCCTTCACTAGCCGCCCGAAATAGTCGTCTCTGACGCAGCCCGGAGCTTATTGGCTAACCAGTGAGACCGGGCTAATGATGACGTTTCACTTTAAACGCTACCAATGAGGATGGTCTTCTTTGAACCCTGCCAGTAGGTGCTGGGTCGTTCCCTTATCAACTATTGATTGTTCATACTATTTGCCCTTGTCTTTTATCCTTGGAAGTCGGCCGGTCAGCTTGCGCACCAGCAGCAGGGGTTATCTGTACAAACAACGGGAACTACAACAGATTTTTGGCGACAGAGTGAAGTAAATCAGGATCCCAATCTCATCGGAAGACCTTAGGGCTATTTTGGTACAGCAGCAGTTATCACTTCAGTCCTCACCGATCCAGAACACTTGGAAACCTTTAGCGGACGCAGTGATCAGCAACGCTAGGGAGTTCATTTTCGATCCTGATTCAGGACTCTAATATTCAATACGTGCTCCACGCGCTAGGAAGGTGCTTTCAGGACAGAGTTGTCAACTCTCAACGATGCAACGAAACTTCGTTTGCTGCTATGAAAACTGGGAACAGTTCAGCATGACAGATCTCTCGACTAGATTTTGCCAAAGAGCGCCCATGATTCTAGCACCGACTACACAGTTGCCCGGCTCACAATAATGTTTGGAGACCGATCGTCTCTTTTTTATGGCCGCTATAATTGTTTGAAACTTTGCAAGAAAGTGACCGTTTTATTGCTCACGCAGTGACAATAAAGTGTGAATGCCAGGAATTTAAACTGAAGTCGCTTATCGAAGATCATTTCGAGTGCCTGCTAGTAGTGTGCAGTTTGCAGTCCCCCCAAAGATGCCGAAATCCGGACCAAAATACTTGGGATGTTGGAACGCGACCCGGATGTCACGTTACAAAACATCGTCGTTGAAACTCAGAGGATTATGGATTAAAATACCACACAGCTATGGGGTAGAATTCAAAAGTGCACACTATCGATATTCCTGCCCAGCAACTTTCCAGGGGTAACGCTCCATCATCATCATTATCAATACACCTTATCCGAGGGTGAGAAACACACCTCAGCTAATGTGTTGCAATACGAAACAGTACAACATTAAGCTTAAAAGCTTTGACGTAGCAACGTAATGTTAATATCACATTTCTGATGGTTGTTGGTGGGGAAGTTAGAGGGAAGGATGGACAAAGAGGATCACAACACAAACGCCACTGTGCTCAACTCTTCGCCATATCAGCTAGTATATCCAACCGAACGTGTTCGTCATCTTTCGGTCTCCAGCCAGACAGTCAGGAAACACCACCCGTCGCCAACTTCGAAGTGAAGGACTTCATTCCTCGTGACCAAGTCATCGCTTGGCCACCTATCCTCTTCTTCTATCCACACCCTCGGCGCACAGACAACGCACGTCGCGGGACTCAGCGGACTGGTATGCCCGAGTAACACTACAGCAAATGAGCCCTGGAGATGCCCACAAACTAAACCGCCATCGGCTTGCTGGCAATACGGAGGTTTGGCATTTTGCGAGATGGTGCCCGTTTACTCGGCATCTGCCAGAACTGCGATAGACGTGGACAAAAGGAAATCACTGCAGGTCCAGTCTACCGTTCTGGCCATCATACACTGCCCAAAGCTAAGGTCCCTGAAACTTTGCAACAAGGTGACACTCCAAATTCTCCGACGATGTTAAGGACAGAAGCAAGTGTATTACTATTAACCTCAACGGTTGACTGGTGCGTTTGCAAATAAACACCGTGTCGGATATCACAATTGTTTCGGAAACCTTATGGTAATCTGTCGATGCACCCGACATTAAACCGACCGGCAAACAGGCGCCGAGCGCATCAGGCACGAATTTGGATGTGATTTGAGATTCAGTGCGACTGCCGTTTTTCCGGTATCACCGCTTGGGGAACCGTTTTCATCACAAGTCGCATAGGTTGAACCTTCTTGGGTTAGATTGGATCGAACGCTTTAACTTCCTAGACATTCCTATTAACCAGATCTGTAGAAGCGTTCAGCCTAAGCTGGAGTCACACAGAAAGATCGGACTAGCTTCCTGGCCGATGCCAACGATGCAGTGGAAACGAGTGCACGCTGATTTCTTTGGTCCCGTGCATGGTCAGCAGTATCTTGTCGTTGTTGACTCCTTCAGCAAATGGAATGAGGTCTTATGCATTGAACATACAACAAGTGGTGCAGCAAGCAACGTCCTGAAAAAACTTTTCAACAAGCACGGAGTACCTGAAGCCTTAGTCGGCCGGTGGCCGAGTGGCCTGCACGCCTGGCTTTCAATCACGAGGTCACTGGTTCCAATCCGCATAAGGGTAGGCGTCCGCGATATACCCGGCCCACGCGCGACTGGTGGTGGCCGCGCGGCAGCGAAGCGCCTTTACGACGTACAGCTGATATATTATGTTTATTAGTAGCCACCGATAATGGTTCTCAGTTCACTTATTCCCACTTTATCGAGTTTGGCGCACAGAATGGCATCACGCATCTGTGCTCACCGCCGTTTCACCCCCTGTCAAATGGATAAGCAGAACGTTTCATTGACACGTTTACGCGATCTCCACTGAAGATGAGAGGGAACTACGCAAAAGATACTAGTTGCTTTCCTGCTAGTGTATAGATCAACCCCGAACCAGCTGCCAACTCAATTGTCGCCAACAGAGGCATTATTACGAAAAAAGTTCCATACTGTTAATTCCTTGCTGCTCCTGTGGCGTGCCATACAGCAAGAAAGGAACCTGCAAATGAAAAGGAAATGAGCGACACCGAACTCAAACACGTCAGTTTTTCCCTGGACAAAGTGTTTTAGTCAGAGACTCTCGCGTAGGATCGATCCGGGTTAGACTTGGTCAGATACTCTATGAGGTCAGAGTGGGTGCTTTGATTTGGATCAGGCAGGCTAATCAGCTGCGACCAATTAGCATCCCGGCAAGTACTAATAATCGGCTGCTACGGTTAGATGTTCTACTGTACAGTTTCGATATGTCATCAAACACTCAGAACTCTTCGGATGCACCTCCCACTAGGTTCCAGAAGAGCCGAGAATGCAACCACGGCACTAAACTGATCGAGTACGGAGATCCGTCATCAAAATGCCGTTGGATCCAAAAAGCAACTCATGTGTTGATTTCCTCGGGGAGGTTGTTAAGAGATCCCTTTGCTAGCAGACCGGAACAGTTGACCCTGACGCATCCCGAGGCTTATTGGCCAACTAACGTGAGCGGGCTAATGATGACGTTTCAGCTTGAACGCTACCAATGAGGATGGTCTACTTTGAAGCCTGCCAGTGAGCGCTAAATCATTCCCTTATTAACCATTTTTTCGACCCCAGATTTGATTGTTTGTACTGCTTGCCGCCTTTGTCTTTTAACCTTGAAAGTCGGCCCATCAGCTTGTGCACCAGCAGCAGGTTGTTCGTACAATCAACGGGAACCACAGCATGGTTGCGTCTCTCCAACGAAGGCACTTTTACCCGCCTTTTTGCTTAAAATTCGGTACTTATTTTGTCTCCTCTTTGTCTCCCTGCATTTTCTTCGCTTGCTGCTCAATACTCTTGTTCTTGTGGCTGTCGACAGATGGATCCATTATTTTCATGCTGTCATATCGTTGCCGTCTAAGTGAGCTGAACTCAGGGAGATTTTCACTAGGCGGCTGTTTCATTGAGTCAAGTTTTTGTATCGGTTGGTGTGTTATCATCTCTCTTAATGAGGATATTACCCGATCCATTTCACTTGCGGGCTTCTGATAAACGTCTCATCTCTTTTTGGCATTAGCATTGCTTCAATCTAGGGTAGTCGTGGAATTGTACCAACCAAAAAGAAGCCTCCTCTCCTCTTGACAGTTAGTTTTCACCGTAACACCCGTTTATGATGCATGCAATCACTATTACAATAACTCGGATGTTTCTGTTACATTTTTACCTCTCTATGTTATTTGGTACGTTTATTTCTCTTGGAGCCTAATCGAATTTTCCGGGAAATTCTCGTGAATGTGTAGTGTTTGTTGTGTAAATTCTTTTGGAATGCATCTCTCGTCGCCTACCGAAAATGTGGGCGCCGGAAGTCATCAACTTTGAACGACTCGTATACACCGCATACCTTACCAAGCTCTTGTAAAATCTAATTAATGATAGCTGTTGAACCTGATTTCCTGTTTACATTAGATCAACTTTCATTCTACTCGGCACTATTAAGTGCGCCATTGTCAAACTGTTCTACTATCCTTGTGATGACATCATCAGTTGTCAACGGTACGCTTCACTTTACCGCGCACTTATATTGCTGGTCTTTACCGCTTATTTCTTTCCTGTTTGTCTCCTATTTCTTTATTCGCATCCTCTCCTCTTGTACCCAGACCATACACGCGCCTTTGGTGAGAATTCCCCCTCCTGTGTCATGTGCACTAACGGTTGCTGCGCCCATGGCTCCTCCACTGGGGCGGACTGTAACACACTGCCCGATGGTGGTGTTGGAGGTGCACCTCCGCCTCCTGTGTGTGACGGAGACGGCTCGAAGTGCCATTCACGCTACCGTGCACTAGTAAGTGGATGATCTCTCCGGGGGGCCAACGTGTTCTGTTATTTCTATCTTTCTGGGGCTGTACCTAGTTGTCCCGGTTGTGCCTTTTTTGAAAGATTACTCATTTCTTTTCGTGCCGGGGTAGGCTACGAGATATAGAACATGCTGGGCTCGGTCGCTTTGATCTGGCTGTACTGCAATGTCTTTCCCTCAACTACTTGTTATCACAAAGTCTGCAAATCGTTACTGCGTCCGACGTGTAACGCACAGTCCTCTTTACTGTGCTGGACCTAAGAATGAGTCCCAGTGTGGGATGGATAGCCCACCACCGTGCATTCGCTGCCTAGTATACTTGTTTCCCAGAGCTGTACGACAATAAAGTAACGTAACTCGACTCCAGACCGATTGCAGCTCCAATCCCTCATGTCTTCTCATCTTGTTTTCACACTAGATATAGATAAGCGGCTCGTCGCAAAAGTCCGTTCTCTAGGTATAGACTGTTTATTTCGTATATACAATAGTGAAGTTACAGCATGTTTGACCGGCATTCGTCTCGATACATATTGTTCATGCGCTCCCATAAACTGTGCTGTTTTAAGTCAAATAAGCTTCATCCTTTGAAATGTTTCGAAATACTGGTAGCTCGGGTTGATGAATCAATTGTTCATTTGTTCTCCGAGCTTGGCGGTTTTCTCGCAAACGTTTCACCACCATGCAAGGATGCCACCTCGCATGTTGGTGAAACGTTTGCGAGAAAACCGCCAAGCTCGGAGAACAAATGAACAATTGATTCATCCTTTGACTCAGTTAAACAGGCTACGAGGAGCTTGTCTTTGCGCGTGGGAACACTAACCAATCAGCGAAGCCGTGTATAAGCACAACTACGACTGTCTCGTCCATTGCCGGAATCTGTCTGGTGGGTCTCTCATTAACTAACTACTTCGTTGCTTGGGTCCACCTGTTCCCCATGATAGGACACCCATCGCAGATTATGTGGATCTGCGGAAGATTCAACCAACTACTCGCACTTTCTTCGGGGTTGCGAGCTTTCTATGACTGATCATTCGACAACAGGTTGCGATTTCCGTATGTATCATGTGTGTGTGTGTGTTGGCCTAATCTTACCCTCGTGAAATACCCCCCGTTAATCTGTTTTCAACTAACTGTATATTATGGTCAACGTAGTGCAGGCACTTCGAGTACCCTCGACTTAGGTATTTTTCTTTCCTAATGAGCAAATTTAAAACTTTGCTACATTTCTCGAATCCCTATTCCGTCCGTCATTTCTCTAGCATCTCCGCACGGAGTTGACCGACGTTATTTAAATTCAAAGAATTTAAACTTGAGATTGGGTTTCGCTGGGATGCCTTGGGACTCACCAACTTTCAGAGGCATGTCGCAGTGTGTTTTCTCGGTATGAATCGCTATTACAATTACTCCATGCTCTCGCAAATGGTATCGTCTTGCTGATCAACTCAGTGTTATTTCCAACCTGTCAAGTTCGCATTCGGGTGGAACGCATTGTTGAACGTGAGCAGTGTTCGCTTTGTGGGTCTGGTGATTTAGTCAAGTCAAACAAAGCCTATTATTGCACTCATAAGTAGGGACTTTGATGTAGCTTCCAACTCAGATAGTCGTCCACATGCCTGCATAAGCACCAGACTGCAGTTTCAGCCTATTGGGCATCGTCAGTAGTGCGCATCCATCGGATCCATCAGGATCCGAACCCATGACCACCAGCGGCTTGAATCGCCAGGCAGCAGCTTATGCCACTGGGCCACGGGGAACAGCTTTGGGCCGTCATGATTTACAAACTATCTGTGATATAGCGCGTCTTCTCCTCCACTGCTAACTTTTTGATGGCATTATTTTCATTCTTATTGGTATGAGATCGTGGGGGACGCTAATGGCTTGCAACCATGCGAGGCGGAGTTAAGAAAACATCAAAACCATCAAAGCGTCAATTGGAAAATGTTCTACTTTTTCGCTGCATCTTCCAACAGGAGAACGAGGACTAAAAAGTGAGCATCTGACAAATTTAAATGGAATTTACTGTGTCAACATCGGTTGAGGCAGGTAGCGAATGCGCGAAGGTTCACAGCTACTTGTGCATGAAATAGGCACATTGGCTTACTGCAGCTCACTTGCAGTCGACATCGCGTTGGATCGTAGTGCACGTACTCCGAGCTCATCGGCGAGGACAATAGGGTCGTTTTGGATGATCTCGATTGTTTAGCTTGCTGTTGATCCAATCTCAAGAGTTAGCAAAGTGTTAACAGTATCTGAGCTCATCGCATGGGATGGTTACTGTAGTGGCAGCTTGTCTTTTGGGTGCACATCACCGACATGACGTAGATATACGGAAGGCCACTCAATTGCCGCCGACGTGAACTGACTACAAGCGCGCGAGCCGGGGCTACTAATAGAACGGGCTATTTCCAGAGTGAACGAAGCGCAGCTTTTTCTCAGGCAAAGGCCAAGCGGCTTGGTTTCAATGGTGACGGGCGAACAGCGTTTGTGCGCCAACGAACACAGACTGTTGACACACACGCTACGATTGCAGACGGTCCACAGAGCAACCGGTGACGGTAGATAAGCAGTGAACAGTAAGCGAAGCAGGTGCCCCCTATGCGACTGACAGTAATTGCGCGGACAAGGCGACTAGTATAGAATTGGTGCTGTAAAGCATGGTCCAAGTTCGATTTGTCCCCACGCGGAGAAGGAGTGGGTTCAGTCTAGCACAGTGAATGAGCGGCGTGTGCTGACCAGACAGACGGGCGGCACAAGGCACGACAACGGGGAATAATCGGTGCAAATTCGTCCCGAGTGGTGCCTCAAAATTTCGTAACTTGCGAATAACATATTTTGATCACTGCTAGTGGAGGCGAACCATCTGGAGCCACCTTCTCGCACCTCACACTGGACACTTGTCGACAGCATCTCCTCATAAGTCTATGCTGTCCCGTTTCCCTGGCGGCGTTCAACGTTCGCAATCTAAAACAAATCAGTGAACAGGCTGTACTCGCACGCACGTTGGACATACTGGGTATTGACCTGTGTTGTGTGTCCGAAACTAGTATCGACGGCACTCATGGGGTTGTTGAATTCACTGCACCCGGTTTGTCCTCTCGCTATTGTTTGCACGCATCCGGAGACGCTGCTGCAACACTCACCGGTCATGCTGGCTTAGGTTTCGTTCTCAGCTCCAAGGCTGAGCCATGGTAGTTTCGATTCCGGTGAACAGCCGTTTGTGTGCAGCATGTTTGACAACATCAACTAACGTTGATTCACGAAGTAGTACCAGACGCTGTTTGTGATTTCCGCTTATGCTGCCATCGACTGCAGTTCTGATGATGCAAAGGACACATTCTATCACGAACTGAACGCGCTACTACGCAGTGCTACTAGTTCAGGTAATCTAGTACTTGCAGGGGACATGAGCGCACAAGCAGGGCGTCTGAGCTTTTCAGAAGTTCAGCTACTTGGGAATTATGGACTTAGCTCCGAACGGACTGACAACGGCGAGCATCTTTTGCGGCTGTGTAAGGAGCACCACTTGTTTCTTAGTAGCACTGCATTTGGACGCAGTGGGCGCCGAAGTGCCAATTTGGCATTCTGTAGCTGGCCAGCGATATACCCAAGTTGATTAAATTGCCATTAGTTACAGGTGGCATGGTTCCATCCTGGATTGCCACTTGTTCTGAAATACCTGCGTCTTCTCTTATCACACCTTTTTACACAGTCGTTTCTTCATGAACTTGACCGGCAGGCGCACCAAGCGCCTCCCTTGATTTAGCAACTAAGAAGCTTTCTCAACCCTCGGTCAGGCAAGCCTATCTAGACGCACTTCATACCGAACTGCCTTGTCCTAATGACACTGAGCTTCAGTGGAATATAGGGTCTCGGCCGCCATGCACGACGCGGGAGCATCTGCTTGTGGCACTATCAGTGGTCACCGCAACAGTCACTGGATATCCGAGGGGTCAGTAAAACTGTTGGAATCCCGAAGAAAATTCCCGTTACGCTGTGAACACACTGGGACCAAACCGGCTATTAGGCGCGAACTAAAGTCGAGCCTGCGTGCTGGCGCGGACGTCTGGTTAACTAGTAGTGCTCAAGAAATGGAGGATGCAAGAACAATAAACAGTTACGGCAAGCTCTTCCAGCTGATCCTCACTACTGGTCCCAGGAAACCAGGCGTCTGTGAAACAACCTGAGACAGCGCAGTTTCACTGATACATTAATAAGGAGCGCCGTATGGCTTGTTGGGCGGAACACTTTCAAGATCAGTTCAGTTGGCCCCCCTGTTTCCGAACCTTTCCTTACTCAGGTGATACCCGGTGAGCCGTGTGCTGTTGGTTTAGAGCCTCCGTCGGAGGCCGAGGTCCAGAATGCGATCACAGCCCATAATCGTTTTCATGCTGCGGACCCGGATTCCCTCCTACCTGCACTATTTAAGGATGGGGGTAAGGTTCTCTGCAAAGCACTGACCTCCCTATTCGAGCGTATCTGGAAGGAAAAGTGTCCCTGCTAAGTAGGGTGAATCGATTATAGTGGCAGTATACAAGAAGGGCAGTCGCACCAACTGTGCTATCCACAGGGATATTAGCCTAACGCTAGTTGTGCCAATATCACTGGCCTCCATTCTCGTAAGTCGCCTCACTGTGGAATGGGAATCTCGGATTAGGGAGAAGCACGCAGATTTCCGCCGAAGATGTGCTGTATAGACCATATATTTACTCTGCGGCAGGTGCTAGAACAGCGCCACGCCTACCGCAGACCGACAATAACTGTTTTCTTCGATTTGAAGGATGCGTTCGATTTAGTAGACCGATGCATTCTTTTCGAAATACTTGCGCGGAAAGATGTTCCCACGAAATATGTGAACATCTTACCTGCTCCATACTCGAACACGACAGTGCGCCTCAGGGTCTACGGTGACGTGTCGGATATCTTTCCAAAACAAGTGGTGTTCGTCAGGGTTGTCCAATTTCCCCACTTTTGTTCAATATTATCGTTTACTCCTTACGTAATGTCACGATGTGTGCATTGAGGCACTGCTTTTCGGAAGGTTATTGATCTCGATTTTGCGGACGATATCGTCTTGCTTTTTGCCGATGTTGCGGCTGCGCATTCATCACTAAACAGCCCCTCTGGAGTGGTCCCATTATTTGGTATGCGCTTCGCACCTTCAAAGTTCAAAGTATTGCTGCAGTGCCACCAGCCAATTGAAAACCCCTTGATACTGAGGAACTCGAAGTAGTTGTTCACTTTCCTTTGCCTTGGAACTTGCATCAGTAACTATGGGCGCGTAGAAAGTGATGTCAGTTCATGTATTGCAAAGGCTAGAGCTGCCTTATTGAATCTTTGGCGACAAAAAGGTGTTTCCATCCGTCTGAAAGGCCGCGTATACAAGGCCACAATGAGGCTCCTTCTGCTCTAGGGAAGTAAGACTTGGCCCCTTCGGTCGGGAGATGTGAGGGGCCTTCAAGTCTTTGTTCATCATTGTTTGCGGAGCATTGCTGGTGTCGAGTGGCACTAACCTGTCCGGAACGCTTGTGTGCATAGGCAAGCACTAGGTAGTGATCATTATGCTAGTTTCTTAGAACAACTGATAGCACTTGATAAGTAGCGTTGACTTGGTAACGTCTGCGTATGCCTGTTCACTGCTTACTTAGGAGGGCCTTGTTTAATCTGTCAGGTGTTAGTTGGCGCGAGGTTCGAGGTGGACAGAAGTTGACTTGGCAGAGGGAAATGAGGTCACTGATGACCAAACTCAGTTTCGTCGGTCCTTCTCGCCTTCCGGGTTGGAGTCCACATGACTCGCCTTGTGCTTGGCTCGAAACTTTACAGGGCCTGGCTCACAGTTGACACCAGTGGCGCGTCTGTTGCCGTCTCCTAGTCGGACTGCCGGTCTAAAGTGCGTTTAGTGCTGTGTTATCTGCGGACTAGTGGTTGTTTATGACGTGAGGCAGTGAAAACCGCAAGGAATCTGTCTCGCTGACGCCGCCTTATCTTTGCACAATAGCCAGCTGTTTGTGACGGTACGTTGTTAACACAAGGTGTAGGCTTCTTGATTCTGAATTTTTGCTTCGGGCATTAAGCTTTTGCGGTAAGTCCCGCTTCTCTCCCTCTGAGTACTCTTCATTGCATAGGTCATCACGGTTGTATGACAATTAAACATCAGTTTAAATGGCTAGCTTTTTTTCTGCTGTTAATCCCATCAGATGTATTTCTAAGCGCAGAATTTGTCATACAGATCGAAACACTTTGCGTGGTCCTGATGGCGTTTTTCACCTATAGAAGTTGAAGATGTACCGCAGCACATTGGCGTTCAGGTCTGACCTGACCTCGCGTTCAATTGTCTTATACTCAAGGATCATTCTATTGGGGGACGACGCGGAGATAACCAAGAAACAACGGGTTATCCTGTACTTTCACTCGCACCCTCTGTGTCCGTCTTGCACTCACTTACTTAGGTCTATGTGTGTAAGCGTTTCATCTCGGGGCTCTCGACTCTTTGCTTGCACTAGTAAGTGGTAGCGAACCAGAGTTTTGACCATAACTCACTTAAGTGCAAGCCCATTTGCTTCACTGTCCATTACAATGATCGACCTATCCAAGCTTTATTACCAACAGTTAACTGATGGTCGAATGAATGAAGCGCTTACCTTGTAATCCGAAGGTTACTGGTTTAATCTTTGCAGTATCTATAGGCCGCGCTCGATTGGCGGTCCTTGCGAGGCAGCGAAGCGTCGGCATGAAATATTGACCTACTGCTGAAGCATTCATTCCCAACAACAGTCGTCGTGGCTGTATCGTTCGCTGGTAAGGGGAACGGTTGCTTCTTCAGAAATTGTACTCTATTCTTTCCGTATACGGTTCCGCCTAATTCCATTCTTCTCTGAGTCGATTTTTCTGACACTTGTTTTTTTACCCCCGACCACCCCTAGCGCCGTGATTCCAACGAGGAATGGGAGATTCCCAGCACAGAGATCACCAAGGGGATTCGGATCGGATCGGGCTCATTCGGGACGGTTTTCAAAGGCTATTGGCATGGGAACGTTGCCATCAAAGAGCTCAATGTCACCAATCCGACTCCTCAACAGTTGAAAGCGTTCAAAAATGAGGTGAACGTTCTCAGGTGAGCCATGTAATGTGGACTCATCGATCTGTCTTCATCTAGGGGATTCGTTACGATTGCCGGGAAATTTTCGTGTTTCATCATTGCTTTTACAAGCGGCTCGTCACCACTTCGTAGGGGCATGTCGCTGCCAGACAATCGGACTTTTCTACCTAGGAGAAATAGTAAGCAAAACCACTGTGGCTTTTCAGAGACTCAGTTACGGCGAGACATCAGACATTAATTTATTACCTGTGGATTTTGTGAGTAGTGTAATTTTCGTAGAAAGTAGAAGCCACGATTAAGCTTCGCGCAAGAATCATCCTCGACGGGGAATCGAACCACGGACCCACGGCTTACCGGTCCGCTGCTCTACCACTGAGCTAACGAGGGCTTACGATCAGGTGCGCAATTTTTAATACATTACTTCGACTTGGTTCGCGACGTATTGCCAATGAGCTCACAGTATCTCTCCTGATGTTGCATATTGGCTCATTCACTTGTCACTTCCCAATGAACCGGAGTATCTGTCCTCCTGGTGTTCAAGGGGCGCTGGTAGATTACTTGTGGGTTTTGTGAGTAGTGTAATTTTCGTAGAAAGTTTATTACTAGCCTCGGCTTTGCTTCATAGGGTTCTTGGATCGTTCGTTTCCTCTTGCACGCTGCACAATTATTCCATGGACTGTAATTTAACAACTGATGGGAATACTCGAACTACCTGAATTCAGACTATCCTACTGAAATGTTTTTCCTGCTCAATCAGGTGACATATGACCCACCAAACCTGATCCGATCATGGGGAACAGCGGAATCCAAACTGAAGTTTCACGACTGCTGTACTAGACCAAATGTAATTCCTTTTCCATTGATACTTGCACCATTATTTTCGTTTCCCAAGTCTCCAGAATGGACGGCGGTTGCGAGTCATTTGGATACTTTTAGGCGGGGTATCGTTAAAGCGAAGCCAAATACCAATGATTAAGCAGAAGAATGGCAATATACACATGAAAAGTGTGATTACAGAAATTCCTAACATTGGTATATAACAAAATTTTTAAATATAGGGACATTGTGTGAATAGGCGAGATTGCATTTTAATGGTAAACACGAACTGTTTAATTCCATTAGAACGAACGACTGGCCTCCCACAGAGGGTAAGATATGATAATACGGGCAACTGAAATTGCATACAAAACTTCGATGGGTTAGTGGCACGACAACATTAATTCGACTTTTCATTAGTTCCACGTGTTGCAAGCACTCAAGTCCTTCAACTAGCTGAGTACGAGATTTTAAGCGTTACACGAAGACCAAAGAAAAAGTTTGTTTTATCCAATCCACCGATGTGCGCATGTTTTTCAAATGTCATTAGTGGCTCTTTAAGATAAGTAAGAGCACAGTAAGAAGCATTGTGGATGAAGGAATAATCGAAGATAAATCCCATCTATCCAACCTATCGATGTGCCCATCTTTTCATAGGCTATCGGGAGTAATACCGAAGGATGGGACAAAGTAGAAGGAAAGAATGAGAGACAAAGCTAAGTTATCTTGCAAAAAAATTCTCGAGATGAGAACACGGTACTTCACGTTGTGTCGACAAGCCCTTCTCCCCGTCGTTATCTGAACCTTCATATTACAAATTCTGCGGATGCTTAGCTGTTATCAGATCCGTTCTCATACGCCCATTCGTCTGTGCAACTGACACGAAATGGTTCTTTTATTTCATTAGCAGTTAAGTGTCATTTTAGTTGCAGCTTAAATGTTGGAAGCGTAGATGAACTTCTGATGGCCTGCGGCAATGGATTCCATAGCGTGGGATATTTATGTGTAAAGTGTACCATAGACGTGTGCGGCGACCGGATAGCTTTATCACATAGTCTTTGTTTCTCAGGTCATACGATAAAGGTTTTTGGAAAACCGGCTGATAGTATATGGTGTATGTCAATCGATGGGCAATTTTGTATAATATACATAAATTCAGCTGTGTAATCTTCGGAGCTGTAACAGTTCGATTTTTACCAAATGGCATCTGTCTTTGGTTAAACTTCGAAGTCAATAGTGAGCGCAATCATTCAACGGACGTGTTATGGCGTACCACTTTGGGAAATGGTACGATAAGTCAGGTTGCGATTATCACGCTTTTTTACTGTCTTCCAGATGGCGTTTCTTAACCGGCCAACCCATTTTCGTCTTTTCGAGGAAATTGCATCTCACGTTCACGATGTGGGTGTCCCTTTGATAATACAACTTGGAAATGGTATCAGTTGCACAAGTTTCCAATTTTGCACTATCCTTTTTCTCGCAGTTTCCAATTTCCTTTGTCCATTTAAGTTTTCTAAAATTTATGCTCATTTCCAATGCGACCATCACGTCTTGATGTTCTCTTTCCGATTCATGCACCGAAGCTCTTTGCTTGCATTGTGTTTCCGCACCGTTTCTTCTCTTTGTTCATCCCAGAAAAACCCGTCATGTCAACATCCTTCTCTTTATGGGTTGTGTGTCCAAACCGTGTCTTGCCATCATAACTCAATGGTGCGAGGGTTCCAGTTTGTACAAACATTTACATGTCCTGGAACGTCGATTCGATATGCCCGAATTGGTGGACATCTCACGACAGACCTCTCAAGGCATGGAGTGAGTCGCCAATATTACCTATACATATACATGAGGACAAATTGTCTTTTTCACAAACCGTTTTTCCCTTTTTGTGCTTTTTAAAGAGTTAGTATTTTTAAAAGTGGCAGTTCACGCAGACTTCCGCGCATAGTCTCCACAGCAACCAGTTATGTGCCATTGTTTCAAGTGTTGTAAGTCGTCGACATTCTTCATTTTTCCGTCCCTAGCCAGGATATTTGTACCGGATCAACATTTGATGGACAGGATGTCAGCGGTTCGTTGCTTTGTAGCCAGGTGGCTTCTTTCAATGCAGTCCTACATGCACGAATGGGATGCGGCGTGGCAATCGCTGACCATAGGTGCACAGGATGTATGCAAGCCTTCTAAACTGGCGCAATAGACCAAGCTCATAAATCGATTGAGATCTGCCTTGCAAAAGACGAGTTGTCTGATACCATCGTTGCACACCCGGTGTTGCCACCATACGCGGACGATCCACCACAGACAACCGTTGTCGAAGACCAAAAGCCTACGCATGTCATCCACTCGGATCGGACTGGATTCGCATCCATACGAAAGTGTCGCACGCACACAGTCATTGTAAACTCTACTTGTTAGCCAAAGTGAAATTTCACGACGACTCCGCGAATATCACAAATTGGCAATGGCTGAGCGGTTTTAGCGATAAGAAGAAACACCACTTTTCCAGTAGTTCCCTCTTTAGAGATATTACTTTCCAGGCAAACAATACTAATCACCTGCTGAAGCCGGATGTGTTCGATGGTTTGCCAATTCTGTGCCAGCACTTTACACGTTGAGGAGGCAACGCACATACCATACTTAGACTCTGTAACAACAAATCAGTCAGGAATCGATTGCTTACCGTGAAGGCCGTCACCGAGCAAGGCGATATCATCAGCATAATCATTGTCGGTTTTATGATTACCTGGAAAGAGCTTAATTTCCAAGGCCCTCAAGCCCCCAGCTGGACATCTTCAATCGCGAAGTTGAAAAGGGATGGAGACAGGACCTCCTTGTCGCACACCATTGGTCACAGGGAGGACTGTGGAGAGCTTTCCACAGGCTCTTACTCTGCCTGAAGTACGGAGATATAGCGCCCGAATACTAGCAACCTACTTTTCTGGGACTCCGTTCTTTAGTAGGGAATGCCATAAGGCAGTTTGGTCTAACGAGTCGAATGCAGTCCAAATATCCAGGAAGACCACTGTGGTTGGTCTACGGTACATGTAGGGATCTCCGAGAGCTGACGCAGCGTGAATATTTGATTCACACAACCTCGAATGGGGGCAGAAATCAGCTTGCTCCTCTCGATAGTGCGCTAGCGGGTTTTCCGTAGCAGGCGCAACATGATGGATACTAGCAGTCTGGAGGCAGTCGATCCCTAGCTTATTCCTCTGTGGTTGGCACATGAAGTCCTGGAGACTTTCTTAAAGACTGCGACAATAACTGATTCTCCCCATGTAGAGGCAACTCTTTCTTCTCTCCACATCTTACCTGTGTGACAATTTCCTTACCACCATATGTGAACAGTTCTGCAGGAAGCTCATCTGAACACCAGCCTCTCTGTTACCCTTATTCACCATCCCTATTTTTGCCTGTTGTGATTCCTCACTTTTTCCGTAGTGGCAGTTGATCCATGTCGCATCGTAGCTAATCGTGGTGATCCGCCGCCATCACCTATGCCTGGTAGCTTAGGATGACGCTTCACAAGAGGGCGGTTGTCACTTTGTATCCCCTTATGATTTGACGGACGAGTCCGGTACTCACGAATTTCAGTATGGCGAGATGACTGTCAAATGCTGCTTCTTCAGATGCGTACTAGTTATCTGGTTGCATTTGGCTCTGACAAATTTTGTAATGTTTATTGCTAGGGAATTTTCCTGTAATTCTTCGTAGCCACTTATCCGTTAGTTCACAGTCCCACATTTCCCCAGTCTGCGAGACTTTCGTTTCGAGGCTAGGTACGAGAGGCTGAGACTGTTCACCTTGGCATATCGTCGGTTACGTATCGACCTCATCATGACCTACCGGATTATACGTGTAGGCGACTTTCCAATGCTAAGACCACTGCTCCACTTGCGAACGCCTTGCAGCACACGCGCGGGCAGCAATACACACTTGTGGTTCCCCTATATAAAGCGAGTTCCCCAATTTCTGTACTTGGAACGGCCAGTGGTAACTGTCTGGAACAGTCTGCCGGAACATGTAATGAAAATGAACTCAGTGCAACAGTACAAACGATCATTGGGTGTACATTTCTCAACTGTTGGATTCTGCGAACGATTACCGCCTACAGACATCTCACATTTTTGTCTCCTTATCTCCTATGAGTTAAAGGTCTTTTAAACGAAATCACGTGGGGAACGTGGAATATTGATCAGCGTATTAACAAGTCATAGTTTTTTTGTTTTTTGACCTTTCCCTTCATGCAAATGTTGCCAACAAAGTACCTGAAGTTATGGGCCCGTTACTTGGACGATACACTTGTAATAATCCAACGCAGTGGAGTAACAGTCGCACACCAACTTCTCAGCAATGCAATGGAGGGTCTTCAGTTTACGATGGAGTTGGAGACAGAAAACAAGCCCCCCTGTCTGGGACGTATTGGTGACCAGAAGATTGTACGGTGAACCACAAACATCCGTTTACAGGAAAGGCACACATACGAACCAAATTCTGAACTTCAACAGCAACCATCCAAAATGCCACAAATTGGAACATTGCAATACTACAGAAGCGAAACAGGAAGGAGAGAAACACATATTCAATTCATCTATAGGCAACGGATACTCACCGAGTTTCATCCGCAGATGTTCAAACAGCAAGCACACAAGCAAGGAACGGACGCCAATGACAGGCTAGCGATTCGTTTTTCCGTATACGAAGAACATATCTGAACTGACGACTCAATTGCTCAAACGACAACATATCCTGGTTGCTCACAAGCCAACCGGTACTTTGAGAAGAGCACTGTCAAACCCAAAAGACAAACGGGATGGCGAAGAACGAACAAATGTCGTGTACAATATAAATTGAAAGAAATGTGAAAATAACTATGTAGGACAGACAGGAGGAAAATTACCGACCTCGGTACAAGAACATCAATTAGCCTGTCGAAACCATTGCGAATCGTCACTGATCTCAGCGCATGGGGACGAGGAGGGACATAGCTTCGACTGGAACAGCACGGGATTTCATTCCAAGTAGAGGCACAAAAAGGAGAGAATTTCTTGAAGATTGGTACTCCTCTAAAAATTCTATTAACGTGAACATGGACATCGACTTTATATACCAACAACTCAGAAAGAAAAATCCCTGGCGTATTGAAAAGCAGAGTCGAAAACGAGGTACGCAGCGAACAGCTCGAGCAACTGCTTCTGTCACGGGGAAATGTGGACAAAGATCACGAGGCACAAATCGAAGATGTCACTGTCAAAAGTCACCTGCTGGTCGACCACGAATAGACGATACAATCATTGAGATTGGCCATCGCGCATCACCGCACTGACAATGCCACCTCGTATGGTGGCGAAACGTATGCGACCATGTAACCAAGTTTGGCAAACCAATCGACAGTTGAACAATCAACCCGGGCTACCAGTGTTTCAAATCATTTCGGAGCTGTACAGATTCAAATTTCTACTTGCTCTCACAATACAGTATTCAGATCGTTAGTTTCGCCCTCCGGCTCCATGATGAATCACTATCGGCGCTATCATTTTTTTGACATCAGGCAATGTGTACTGGAGACAGACTGTCATTCAGCTCGCAATATTTGCAGACGACTAAGTTGGCCCCCAGAGATACGACTTCCACCAACAGCAGCTATGTACGACATAGCATTTTGAAGCGGAACTAGCGAATTTTTTGAGCTACTTGTAAGTAGCGAATTGTTAAATAGTTTTTTAAGACTTCCACACATTTGGAAAAGCACTAGACAGGCATTTCGCGCTACCGGAAGACTATCTGGCTACGATTAAACTATAATGCGTCATTTGTCGGAAGGATATCCCTCATGCTATATTCGATTGTGACCTTAGAGTTAACGTTTGTTTCATGACCTGCGGCACTGTTCCAATCAGGAGAATGTATAAAACTGGATTGCAACCAATGTCACAAGGAACTGCTGCGGTCTGTGTCGACGATATGTGCCAGTAGCCTCTCGACATCCAGGCCGCACAGTAAGGAGACTCAGTAGCGATGTACCACAAGACCTTATGTATAGGGAATGAACATAGAACAGGAAACACGAATGTCCACATGGCTTTTTCACTTAGGCTGAAAATGAACCTACTTAGCTTACTAAACTAAGTTGATGGAATTCACGAATTGCGTTACTTCCGAGGAACTGCATTATATACGCTGGGCTCCGAGAGAGAGAGTCACTACTCGGATGGTATCATCGAGGTCAACACCGCTCAAGTGGAAAAGCTTCTCCGACTTTAACAGTCGAGAGAGACGTGTCATTCCGTAGCCTTAAGTATCACATGCCTGTCTTGTAATCCGAGGGCGCGCGGGTTCCAACCTGGGTATGAGACCGAGCGACCCTCGCAGTATCCTTAGCGCACGTGCGAGTGTTGGTAGTTGCACGACAGCAAGCTAACGGTACCGCGTACCGGCGTACTGCTGATGTCTTATCATTCCACTACATTCGTAGAACGACGAAATTGTTGCTGATATTCTAATTCACTATTTTTCGTACAAACTTCGACACAGCTTTCCAGTGGCCAGCCCACAGTTTCAGGTTAACTGTAGCTCGAAGACAAAACTCAATCCCATGGACACCAAGCCTGTCCACACCAAATCAGTCTGCCTTTACTCATTCCTGTATCATTGTGGAAAAAGTAGCATTGGCCGTACGGCAATGTACCTGCCAGAAATTTTGTGGGGATACCTTCCGATCTAACTATGGGCCGTGTGTCGAAGGGTTGCTAACCCGTACTTAGCTACCCTTCTTGTCGACACATGACACACCGGCAAGTTGACCGAGTCGTTCAAACTCACCCACCATAAAGAATCGCCAGCTGTACACTGTAACGGCGCTTCGCTGCCATGCAACCACCACCAGTCGCACGCGGGCTGTGTATACCCCGAGGGCGCCGACCCCTACGCGGATTCGAACCGGTGACCTTATGGTTGCAAATTAGGCGCGCAGACCACCCGGCCACCGGCCGACCTCACTACAATGTCTATGACAATCGATTGAAGTGCTTATTATTCAGGGATACTCAACCGAATACTTGAGCAATTTTTGCCTCTCCACTGCCTGCGTCAACTTGCACCACGTATATATACGAGGACGGTATGCACTTGCCTAAGGATAGTGGCTTTAAGTTATTCTTCTCATTCCTACAGCAACTCATTATCCGTGATCGTTTTCACAACCATAGAACTCATTAAAACCAGTGATCGGTTTATTCATTATGGTAATTTTATCGACTCCGAGTTGACTACTTCTTGTATTGGTAAGGCTGACTTAGCCTTCCAAAGCCGCCTCGGATGCCCACAGAAGCGTTGGGTTATGAGCTTATTTACTGCCGAAGGGGTTTGCAACGCTGCCGTGTGATAATCAGCACTTTTGTATGATTCGGTAGTACGATTATAACCGATTGACCGTGTTTGGCCATCGATGTCTGCGAAGCATTGTTCGCGTCTGATGGGAGAACCGATTGCTAGCAACTTGGTGCCTCGTTGCATTGCGCACTGAATCGATCATATGCTCCGCACGCTTGAAAACCCGCTTCTGTGGCGGGTATTGTTTTGCCAGTGCTCATCTTGATTGCGCTAAACCCATAAGGCCTCCGTTTGTGGTAAACCGGGCGTGGATCCCACTGCACCATGAGTCAGTAGTATGAGCGTGCTAAATGAACCGGACTGTAACGAGTCAACAACGGATCAAACCGACGTCCTGACACAAAGAGAACGTTTGGAGTCCGCAGATAGGTGTTCGCTTGGAAGAAATACAAAACCAATACTTGCCAAGTCCTTCCAACAAGAACCCGCCATGAAATCTCCAGGAAAATGTTTGCTGGCGAGAAGAAGTGTTAGTGGTCTGACAGTTCAAATGGTGAATATTTCTTGCCACGTTAAACAATCGTTCGCACATTTTATGTTTTTACTAGTTATTAATTCTGCATATGGGCATGATGAAATTGTAATAGGATTGGTTTTTATCGCCTTGCTGAGAAGCACGATCTGTGGGACTTTTCACCTCAGTGGCTGCACGTCTTAACCAGCATAGCACGATCGAGAAATCGGTACTGATCATATGTTCCTTTCCTACTGACTGGCGGAATACCAAAACTGGATAGGTATATGCAAAAAGGACATACACCTTCCTTGTCAAGTTTTTCATTCACAATTATTTATTATTTGTCGTTTGTTTTATTGGGGAAGAGGAGGGAAATCATCGCAAAACTCGGATTCATATCCGCCATTAACGTCGGTCTTGAGCCATAAGTTTCAGAGTCCCCAACCTGCGACTCTACCTCTGCAATCGCAACCATGTAGTCGCGAACATCCGACTGTGGTCAACTCATTCTACAGCTGTTTCTTGCGACTTCTCTCAGTTGTAGGTTGTCTACCGCACCGACTCCTCCAGTCCCGTCCATCAACCGCGAACAACGCTAGATGCATAAGACGATGAGCGGGCATACGCAATACGTGTCCAAGCCACCGCAACTGACACAGCGCGACGAGCTCCTCTAGCGTGTGGCTGCTTCCATCCTTCAAGCTACGCTGTCTACTTTCCGCATTGTTTACGTGGCGCAGCCACCGCACACGGTGCTTGAAGACAGCGAGCAGGTGCAGGCCAATAGTACAAACAGGCCAAGTCTCACAACCGTATAGCAGTACAGTGTGGATAGTCGCAAACTAAACCCGCCCTTTGATGGATTGACGGATGTCATTATCACACATTCATAATGCTTGGTAATGGGGGTAGAACGGCTTCACGCACCGTTCCTCGGTGCGCGGACTGTTCAGCTGCTGTTTAGGATGTTCACTGAGCCATGAAATTACTTTGCTGACCCTTCAAAGTGGCACCCTCAGCGCAGTGAATTTAGTAGTTTCGTAGCAGAGGTTGCTGGAAGACAAATCTGAGTGTGAATGTCACTAGCTACTGATTTTCGTGTTATCCTACTTGCTTTGTTCTGATTGGTTGTTCACTGTGTCCCATGTTTATTCTTGCTCGTTTACCATAGGCTACACGGATCTTGTTGCGACGTGGTTGGGATTCTCTTACTTCGAATAGTTCAGTGGGTACAAAGTCACCGGGCTGTGTTCACTTCGACTATTCAGTTCGTTTCTCTTGTAACGAATTGTTTTCTTTCGAACTGTGGCTTTACTCCGTCTGATCCCTCTGGGAGTAATTAAATCGGGAGGGAGCGAGAGATTCTCTCGGGAACTTCACACAACCCCTAGCGAAAATCGCGTTAATTATTTTTGATTATTTCTGGATGTTTTGTGCGCTTACTCCTCGAATCTAATCTGCACTGCACACGCATACGACCTGCTGCATGAAAGCCACCCTCAAACTATTTGCGCACATTTTCTGGCACTTGGCACGAAATGTGAATATATGCCTGTTGCTTCCAGTACATTGAGGTTACTTTACAGATGTGTCAGTGAATCACTACAGTTTACTGTCTTGACGCGAAGGTTGTTTCTCTTTGATACGAAGTATATACGAGACACCGAACTGGACCACCTTCTTAAAACAAGACGGTCTTTCTCTGACGACAGGTTCCTCAATTACAGCTGGTCTATAGAGAGCACCATTCCGAGATGCACCTATTTGCAGTTGTCATAAGTAGCAGTGTTTCTCTTCACATCAGGCATTCCCTATGGATTCTGTAAAAAAACTGATTTTTCCTTTGGATGATACTGTCTTAGCGACGCCATACACTAGCAATCAATAAAGAACGTCGCGTCTTTTTTATCTCTCGTTGCGACTTCCATTTCTATACTTTCCAAACATTCTTCAAGCCAACATGCTTACTCATCTGTATGCCATTTCGGCTCTAGGATTTTCCAACCAGATCTGGTATTGTCACTTGTTGGAGGACCGCGTGAGTATTACAGGTGTCCGCTATTTAGTATTTTGAAGTAATCGCTCGGCTTACACGGTGTAGCGTCTGCTAAACTTGATCCGCTTGCGTTGACTACGCCAAGTCTCTCGTATACCTCCCTCTGCACGCATTGTTCGCGCGTCTGGTTTCGGTAAAAAGAAACAGAACGGCCGATCGACGACGTGACAGAAACTTTGATCATACTGACCGAGGAACTTGACCTCATTGCTTCAATACCCTGTTGAATATGGTACGGTCATGCATTCAGTGACGCTGCTGCGTTCAGTTACCTTTATCATCTGCCTGTCGATATTACATCCGCGTTAATTTTGCTAACTTATTCCCCAACTCTCTTTACCTTTTTCTCTATGTTACGCCTTGTTTTGGCTTTCTTCATCATTGTAAATCATCTTGATAATCATTATAATTAGCACGGCAACAAGGACCACAGCAACTTAATGTGCTATACATTGCTTGTTTAAATGAACTGCATAACTCATCGGTTCGTACTCTTCTCCATGTAGATGCATTTTCGAATCACGTCTCGAATGCTATTTTTCAGCTTTCCCTTGATTTTTTTACAGTTAAACGAGCAACCCGAGCCGCCGCTATTTCGAATCGGTTCCACTTAGTAGTGGGAGGTTCATTTTCGCTATCTTACTGTCCGACGTCTCTTTTCCGCAATTCGCGGATGCCACGCTTGGCCCTTTTTATTCACTCAAACCGCCCAATCGATGATCACCTCTACTTTTACGATTTCTTTTATCCACAGCTATTTGCACGCAAAAAGCATTATCCATCGAGATTTGAAGTCAAGCAACATATTCCTCCATGAACGCACTGTCAAAATAGGTGACTTTGGTCTGGCCACTGTGAAAAGCCGTTGGTGGAACACAGGATTTCAGCAACCTACAGGCTCTATATTTTGGATGGTGAGTTTGCACGTTGCATTCACTCGTGCTCGTTAGCAATTTCTCATCATCGAAGCAAACGCACAACAGAAATTGTATTGCATTCCACTTTTTCCGACGCTACGGTCGATATCGCTTTAGTCGCATCCTACCGACGGTGTATGCTCCAATCTAGATTGTTGGTTCTCTGCCAAATTTTATGATTTAAGTCCCCATTGATTGTTCCACCTTCACCTTCGAATTCAACATATTTTGGACAATTCATTGGAATATGCAATGCGCAATCCTCGCCGTTAGATCGATGACTGGTTTTTGACCCCGTTACTCACCGTGGCACATCAGATTCGTAGTTTACTTCGCTGTTCTTTTTATCTAACCAGTAATGGACGCCGATGTATTCCCAAATATTGTACCGCTCACACACTCAATGTTTACAGCAGTCTGTATATCGGCGCGAATTATGTGTTTACTCGGGCCATTAAGAGTGCAAGAACATGCGTCCGGATCGGTCTGTCACGATCTCAGGGATCTCGATTGCCACCTCAGCCTTCATCATGGCTCCATCTCATGCGGCCCACACACGCACAAATTCGGTATGGCTCGCTTGGAGAGAAACAATGAACTATTACTGTTATCTTTCCCTATATAGCGAGATTTCAGTCCACTAAGTAACCTGGTCAATTTGTACAGCAATGTTACGTAAGGCAATTAATTGTTTGAATTGTTCAACATGACTCCCAAACACGTTTCTGATATGACCGATCCGTTTACCACATCAGTACTACGACGTAATACAACCCCATCCGCAACAATACAACCCCCTTCCGCAAAGATGAGTGTGTGCATTGCGGTAACAGGTTGCACAGTTATGTATTCATTGGTTCTTTGGCTAATTCCCCACTCTGGCTCGCCCAACAACCTCCCCGTTGTGCCAGCTGCATCGGTCGGGTTTACCCCCCGTTCAAACCAATAGTTCTGTGGCAGTGTTCCCGGACCATAGCGTGTTTTCGAGTGACAAGCGTTCTCTTTATAAAAAGCGATAAATCTCCGTTTCCCAACACTGCTATGTGGTGAATATGACTCAAGTAACTAACTAAAGTCATCGGATGATTTTACCTACTCCACGGACATAAGTCATGCCCTCTCACACTGGCGACGACACGACACAGTCAAAAGTGCAGCCGGTGCATTTACAGACCCAAGTCACATAGCTACACACATGCTCGCATCCACTTACACATATACACACACTGATCCACTGTTACTGGCAAACTTGGGACATATTTGTACATTTTCTGATCATTCGTTGTCCCTTTACAATGATAATGCCTGTGCAGGCGTACCTCACGTAGTCGAGAAAAAACCAATTATATATTTACAGTAAAACCTCTGAGGTTGACCACCTCTATATCCTGACCACCTTTCTAAGTAGACTGGTTTTTTCATTACCTGAACGTTCACCTTGTACACTTTGGGGATCCAGGCGCTTGTATGCCTGATCTCTTGAGTGGTCCACTTACGACTACGTTTATTTACGTTTATTTATTTGTTTTTTCCTCTCATTGAGACGACTAGACCATAACCTGGTTCGACAGTTTGCGTACTTCCATGACCCATTGACCTGTACTCGGTGGGACGCTCGGGCTCCTTCAGAGCCACTCCCACCAGATTGGTCAGTGGTAAGAGGTTCGACCACCGGTGCCTTCGTAATTTAGCTCACATTTGGTGGGAACGCCGCGTGAGCAACGAGCGTGTTCGACGCCTTGTTTATGGCACAGGAAAAGGAAATGAACCGCTCAGCACCGTTATTTCACGCACCAGGCTCCGATGACTCGGCCACGTGCTACGCATGCTAGCCCATTGACTCCCGCGACGTGTATTGTTTGCGCGCCGGGGGTGTGGATGGAAGAAGAGGAGGGGTGGCCAAGCGATGACTTGGTCCAGAGGAATGAAGGCCCTCACTTCTGAGCTGGCCTCGGTCGGAGCGTCTCGGCTCCCTGGTTGGGGTCCAAAGGATGATGAACACGTTTGGTTGGACACACTTGCTGATATGGCAAAGAGCCGACCTCAGTGGCTTTCATGGTGTGAGTTTCTTTGTCCCACCCCATCCCTCTTATCCTCCCCCTCCAACCACGATCTCATTAGTTAGCCTCATATAATCTTGCATAATATTTTTTTTCTTTTTGGGTGCACAGCAGCCGGCTGGTAGCTTACCGGAACGATGCCCATCCGTTACCGGTAGCTCAGCCAGCTTGCACCAGTCGCTTTTTTTCTCCTTTTTCTCTATATATTGCGGCACAGTAGCTGTGGTGTTCCCCACCTCTAGCTAACGTGTATGATGATGATGATGATGAGATCAGACAAGCTCAGTCCCCTGGTCCTCCAGTTTTGGGATTTAACATGGGATGGCGTCCGTTTCTTTAATACCGAATCGTTACCTTATCCGCCTCCTTACAGACAGGCTTTTGACCCAAAGGCTTTGTGTGAGGACCCTAATCGTTCCCCTGTAAAGATCTGGACATTCTGGCAACATATCAGCCCACATACAACCATAATTATTTCTTCAAAATTCAACCATATCCTACGCCGGCCATCGCGCAGCTCATCAAGGTTCGACTTACCTGCTACATACAGCAGGGCGGATAAGCGAAAACATGCTACTGTTGGCGCCACCCTTCTTTTTTACCTGTTTCTCTTACTCCATATCAAACCTCCATTACTAATCTTCCTTCTAGAAGTCACAGCTTACTTAACGGTAGACGGAATGCTAGTGTAGTCGAACCATCTAGAGCCACCTTCTTGCACCTCCCACTGGGCGCCTATCGGCATCAGCTCCTCATAACTCCACGCTGTCCCGTTTCCCTGGCGCCGTTCAACGTTCGCACTCTAAAACAAATCGGTAAACCGGCTACACTCGCACGCACGTTGAACATACTGGGTATGGGCGTGTGTTGTGTGTTCGAAACTAGTATCGACGGCACTCATGGAGTTGTTGAATACATTGCACCCGATTTGTCCTCTCGCTATTGTATGCACGCATCCGGAGACGCTGATGCAGCACTCACGGGCTAACTTTGGGTTGGTATCATTCTCAGCTCTAAATCTAATGCCATCATTCGTTGATTGGATTTTGCTAAACAGCCGTTTGTGTGCAGCACATTTGATGACATCAACTAACGTTGATTCACGAAGTAGTACCAGACGCTGTTTGTGATTTCCGCTTATGCTGCCACCGACTGCAGTTCCGATGCTGTCAAGAGCAAATTCTATCACGAACTGAATGCGCTACTACGAAGTTCTACTAATTATGATATTATCGTACTTGCAGGGGAAATGAACGCACAAGTAGGGCGTATGACCTCTTCAGAAGTTCAGCTAGGTGGTAGTTATGGGCTTAACTCCGAACAGACGGACGTCGATGAGCATCTGTTGCAACTGTACGCGCAGCATCAGTACAACTCTTGAAGACAGTGGATGCCGGAGTGCAACTTCGCGTCCTCCTAACCCTGCCAGCGATGGACCCAATTTGATAATTTTACTGCAAATTACAGGTGGGATGGTTCTATCCCGGACTGTCGGTCGTTCTGGGACATTTACGTCTACTCTGGTTGTTGTACTTCTCCTTTGTTACTTTGTGAGACTGCTACTGTCTGACTGCCCAGTCGCGCGCCCATCCAATCCAAGGAATACAAGAGGCAAAAACTTGGTAGACCGAGTGAGTATGGTTACAGGATAACTCAACTCTATTTATTGGTAACAAAACAAGCTAATTTTGGAGGTCAAGCTCACCCACTCTTCTACGTCTGCTTTCCAGTCAGTGTAAGTGAATTCCGTTCCACCAGCCAACCATATTGACGGAATAGTTCGATTTCACTGACACAGGCTTGTATTTGCTGATCGATCAGTTTGCTTTCTATTCCCAAACCCGGCGGAATGGTCAAAAGTCCTACCACGCCCTTGCTGATGACCTTTGCATGTAGCAGACAGCCTACGTGCTCCGCTTACATCTGTATTACCGCCTCTTTTGAGTAAACTATATCAGCGTACCGTTCGAACTCGACTTTGTTCATAGGTTTTTGCTTTGGGATCAACTTGCAGCCATGGTGCTTGTCTCCACTGTCAATGGTCACCGCATCAGTCTTGGAATATCGGAGAGTTCGGTGAACCTGTTAGAATCCGGAAAAAAACTTCCACTAGCTTTGAGACAATTAGGCACGAACTAAAGCAGAGCCTGCGTATTAACAAGAAAGCCTGGTGGACCAGTCGGGCTCGAGAAATGGGGGAAGCGGGAACACTAGGCAATTCTCGCAAACTCTTCCCACTGATCCGCACCAATGGTCCCAGGAAACCAGACGTCAGTGAAACAACCAGAGGCAGTGCGGGTGCTGTGGTTGACAATAAGGAGCAACATGTAGCTCGTTGGGCAGAGCGTTTTCGAGTTCAATTCAGTTGGCCCCCCGCTTCCGAACACCTTCCTACTCAGGGGATGCAGGATAAGCCATGCGCGGTTAGTTTAGAGGCACAATCGGATGCTGAGGTCCGAAACGCGATCACAACCCTCAATCGTTTTCGTATTGCTTGCTCTTAGTCCTTTCTATCTAAACTATTTAAGGATTGGGGCGAGATTCTTCTCAAGACCCTGACCTCGCTTCTCGAGCATATCTGGAACGAAGAGAGTGTCGAGGCTAATTGGATCGAATCGATTATAGTGGCAATCTACAAGAAGGGCAGTCGCACCAACTGTGCTATCCACAGGGGTATTCGCCTAACATGCATGCTGACAAAATTACTGTCCTCGATCCTCGTTCACCGCCTCACTATGGAACGGGAATCTCGGATTATTGAAAAGCAGGCAGATTTCCTCTCAGGACGTGGCTGTGTAGACCATATATTCACTCTGCGGCAGGTGCTAGGGCAGCGCCATGCATACCGCAGACCGACAATGGCTGTGTTCCTCCATTTCAAGAGCGTTCAATTCAGTCGATCGATGCATTCTGTTCGAAATACGGAAAGGTGTTCCC